TATTTATTTTATTTTTAATAGCTGCTTTTATTTCCCCTCTTTCTAACCAGTGTAGCCTTCTTCCTGGCTTTTTGGGCATCTACTAACATGTTCTTGTACAGTTCCCAATTATCATTCACATTTTCTGTTTTAAATTGTCTCTTCCAACTGATTTGGCTTATGATTGTTTTCAGCTTGGCCCTTTTAAAGAGCCGAGTATATATATTTCTGTTTGGACTTTATTTTGCGTATGCATCACAAATGTTGCTACAGTGCTGTTTGAATCAGGAAGTTGACGTCTGTCACTTTCAGATGTGCTCCCCACCCCCTCATGGCTCCCTTTCCAAACCGCAGCCCCGAGGAGCAGCCACCTTTTCCGAGGGCAGCCTGGCTTCAGGCCTAAATGCTGAGAATCACAGACCTCTTCTCCCCTCTCCCAGAGTTCCTCTCCCCCACCTGTGTCACATCTCCCCTCTGCCCTGCTGAGGTCACGGCAAGCCCCCCCCCCCTCACTGTTTCTCTGTATTTCAGGGTTCCCTCCAGCTGGAGGGGGTGACGGAGACGAGCGTCGAGGGGGATGTGTGGTGGGTGCAGATCCGCTGCCAGGACCCCTTGGTGAACTCCACCTGGAGCCCCTGGACCACCTGGCAGAAGGTGTGACGGGGCCTGTCAGAAATGGGTCTGCAGCCCCCTTACCCTCCAGCCTCCGCACATCGGCACCCTCAACCCATACCCCCATCTGCTGTATTTAACCCAGCCCCTGCTGCCCCCATCTAACCCTAACACTGGCCAGACACCCCCCCGCCAAGGGGTCTAGGATTTGGGACTGCCGACCCCAGAGCCCTGTCCCATCTTGATCCCCCGGACATCACCCCTTCCCACCAGCTGCCACGGCTGGGATCTGCTCTCCTGAGCGCCTACAATAAACGACAGCTGGTGCCCTGGACTCGGTGTTGTCTCATGGTTCAAGGGCAGAGGGATGGGCCAGGCTGTGGGGCGGGGGGCAGCTCATGGGGAGAGGTCTGTGGGTCGCATGGGGATGGAATGGGAATGGCCCCATGGAAACTGGCTGTTCCCTCCAGAGGCAGTTCCTGGGTCTGCCCCAGGCCAGACCCTGTGCCCCAGTGAATCAGTCCCACTTCCCCCAGGGGCCCTGGCCAGCCTGGTTCTGTGTGCAGTCCCCACAGCTCCCAGCCCCCTTGTGGGGAGACATGTACCCCAAAGGGAGCACTGCACCCCCACCTCCCTGATCGGCCGGGACTCCCAGCCGCCGGGTGACAGTGGGGGGTTAGCAGGTGGCTGGAACCGTGTAGCCAGTCCTTGGTTACCAGAGAGCAGAAAGTTACAGCCGGGGCCTGCGGGGTCAACCCAGAGCCCCCGACCCCTCCTTAGTCCCCATCCAGGAGCATCTCTCCTGCCTCCAGCCGCCCCCGCGGAACCACCCCACCTGCCCCCTCCTCAGCCCTCTGTCCTCCCGCTGCTCACACCTGGCCGGCCTCCTAAGGAGTGGGGGTCATCCTGGGTCGTTTGTGGCCGGGTCCCAAATGTCTGGGCAATTGGAGTGGCCCTTGGCTTCCTGGATTCTCCATGGGCACAGGGCTAAGTGTTAGTCAGTCACATCTGGATCGCTGGTAACAACCTTTTCCCACCACCTCGTCAACCATGCACTACAGGGGGAAACTGAGGCACACACATATTCATACAAAATATTACAAAAAATTCCCATTCCATCACACCCCCCGGGCGCTATATCCCAGCAGGGGCAGTTTATTCCCCCCCTCCCCCCATGTGGTATATCTCAGCCAGTGTAAGTCACTCCTGTGTGGTATATCCCGGCGGGAGCAGGTCACACACACACACACACACCCGTAGTATATCCCGGCGGGAGCAGGTCACACCCCTCCCCCCCCGTGGTATATCCCGGCGGGGGCAGGTCACACCCCCCCCCCCCTGGTATAGCCCGGCGGGGGCAGGTCACACCCCTCCCCCCCCGTGGTATATCCTGGCGGGGGAGGTCACACCCCATATTGCCCCCTTTCCCCCCAGGTGGCAGCATTCAGCACGGCTGCATAGCAGGTGGCGTACGGCTCCCCCGCCCGCTCACCATGCTCTTCCCGCCCAGGCAGCCTGGCAGCGTCCACCCCAGGGGCCACCTGGCTGCCGTGTCATCTCCTGCGCCCACCAGCGCCTCGTCCTCTCCCAGCACAAGCGCTTCTGGGCGCTGGTGGGTGAGCCGGGGCCCTGCACTACACCAGCCTGCTTCCCACCAGCCCTGGCACAGCGGTGCCACGGGAGCGCCTCCATGCTCAGCATCACCTGGAGGTGAGGGGGATGCCCGGCTCGCCCCAGCCTGGGGTGCCACAGCAGGGCCCTGCCCAGGCCTGGGTGGGGGCACCATGGCATGTGCTGCAGACTGAGGTGAGAGCTCGGGGGGCACGAGGGAGTGTGCAGCTTCCACAGGGCATGGACCCGCCTCATCTGGGGGGCTCTATCCCCAGCCAGAGGGAGGGGCTGGCCATGAAGGGACCCCTGGAGCCGGTGGGAGGGGATGGCCTTGTAGCACTGAACTAGCCGCAGCCTGGGGCAAGAGCGCTTCCCTCTAGCCCGTCTCTGGGGCTGGGCCCTACCCTTGGCCCCATGGCCCTGGCCGGGCAGCTGCAGGCACCAGGGGGAGAGAAGTCACTGACAGCAGACAGGCCAGAACACACCCTCTGCAGGAGTCTCATGGGGGCACTGCAGGGAGCGGGGCAGGAGCCCTGGCTGTGGGGGGGGATCTCCCAGCTACCCCAGTCCCGGCCTCTCCCAGCAGGGGGCGCTGTGGGGGGGAATCTCCCAGCTACCCCAGTCCCGGCCTCTCCCAGCAGGGGACGCTGTGGGGATCGTGACCCTGAGCTGCTGCATTACAGGGCTGTGCTCATCCCCCCCGGTTCTCACCAGCCCCCAGCGACAGAGTCTCTGGCTCAGGTTAATGCCATGGGGCTTTTATTGAGGTGCTTCCATTGCTGGCCCAGGCAGCGTGGCAGTGCCAGGCCGGTCCTGGCGCTGCTCTGAAAGGGTGGCTGGTGCAATGATTGGGAGAGGTGACGGGTCTGTGCCTGCCCCACACTGACTGATGCAGGAGAGCTGCCTGCAGGGGGCGCTGTGCTGATTAGCCCCACACCCCCTCCAGCTGCATGGGGGCTCCCCGGGGGATGTTCCAGGGACAGCTGGACTGGGCACTGTGGTGGCGGTGAGTGCCCCCTGCAGGAGAGGCTGGGCTGGCTCCTGGCTCTGTGGGATCCCCCATCTGTGCGGGGGACATCCAGTGGTGGGAGGCAGCTCCGGGGTGTCGCAGCAGGGCCAGGAGAATGGGGTACAGCTCCCCCTGCCTGCCCATCTGTGCACTGTTTGCCCCCTGACAGCAGGGGGTGCATGCTGGTCAGCCCTGCCCCCCATTGGGGGGTGCAGCCTGGGTCAGCCCAGGGCCTGGGGGCAGTGCTGCCTGCGCCCCGCTGCGGTTCTCCCTCGGCATGGCCGGGGTGGGCAGCTCCGAGGGGGGACGTCACTTGTGGTTTCGCCCTCCGGGTTCCGGAGAGGGCACATGCCGCTTGTGGTTCAACTCCCGGTGCCCGGGGGCCGTCACGTGGGTAGGGGGCAGCTCCACCTCAGGCTGCAGCGAGAGGGCCTGAGCGCCGGGGAGCCCTGCAGGGGCCCAGAGGTACCCGGGGCAGGCGCTGGGCTCCTGAGGACACACCCAGGAAGCCTTGTCCAGCGGGGCCTGGCCGTGCTCAGCACAGCGCTGGGAGGGGCTGGAGTCCAGGACACTCCTGGCCTCTCCCTGCAATGGTGACGTGGGGTCTGGAGCCTGCCCCGAGATGGGGCAAGGAGG